CAGAAACAACACAAAACACCCTGAAGACACCCTGTAATCTAAATCTATCCATGCTATGATGTAACTCAGTTTTGACGAATACTTCAGGAGTTTTTGAAAAAATTTGTCCCCATTTGACCAAAATACAAAAAATTCTAGCCACACTCAACAATACTCCAATTGTCTGTAAATAATCACATCTGGACCACACAATCTAGTGAATGATATTACGAGTAACGACCCACGCTCGGTGGGTTTACAACGAGCCACACTAAGTAATATTCCAATAGTCTGTCAAACATCGCATCTGGACCACACAATCCAGTGATTGATATTATGAACAACGACCCACGCTGTGTGGGTAAGACAGGCTACACTAAGCATTATGCCAATAGTCTGGAAATAATCACATCTGGACCACACAATCCATTGATTGATATTATGAACAACGACCCACGCTGTGTGGGTAAGACAGGCTACACTAGGCATTATGCCAATAGTCTGGAAATAATCACATCTGGACCAGATAATCTAGTGACTGATATTACGAGTAAAAATCCACGCTGTGTGGGAATATGACAAGCCACACTAGGCAATATTCCAATAGTCTGTAAATAATCACATCTGGACCAGACAATCTAGTGATTGATATTACGAGTAACGACCGACGCTGTGTTCGTATACGACAAGCCACACGAAGTATTATTACAATAGTCTGTAAATAATCACATCTGGACCAGACAATCTAGTGATTGATATTACGAGTAACGACCGAGGCTGTGTGGTAGGACAGGCTATCGACCTGGCCACTGAGTTGATCTACTCTTGTTGATGGGATCAGTTGTAACCCGAATCCCTCAGGGTGTCAGGATATAATACAGCATGACCGACGCTATGTGGTACGACAGGCTATCGACCCAGCCGCTGAGCTGATCTACCCTTGTTGATGGGATCAGTTGTAACCCGAATCCCTCAGGGTGTCAGGATATAATACAGCATGACCGACGCTATGTGGTAGGACAGGCTATCGACCTGGCCACTGAGTTGATCTACTCTTGTTGATGGGATCAGTTGTAACCCGAATCCCTCAGGGTGTCAGGATATAATACAGCACGACCCATGCTGTGTGGTACGACAGGCTATCAACCTGGCCACTGAGTTAATCTACCCTTGTTGATGGGATCAGTTGTAACCCAAATCCCCTCAGGGTGTCAGGATACAATACAGCAAGTCCTGACTGCACAAACTTACACCATGCTTGATGACTAGATTTAGACACAAAGATAACACAATCTATTTTTAGTGACATAAGAATCACAAATTTGTCTATAAAGAAAAGTAAATATTTAATACATTTGATGGTGTGTGTTCTTGTAGACATATACCGAAATTTATCTTTTTATAGCTATTTCAGGTTTGTATACATGGTAGAGGTATTGTTGCCACACTATTCCACTACTCCAGCTATAATTATGACGGCGTCTGTGAATAATCAAGTGTGGATCACACAATCCAGTGGTCGACACCATGAGCATCGATACAGATTGAGATTCCAGGACATGCAATCAACCAAGTCACTGAGCCTGACCAGACGGGTTACCGGTAGTTATAACACTGATATAAATCAAAATGTTACTATTCATATCGTTTACACACACAATATCAAAAGACAAACACATTTGTAATTTGGACAGTTTCACGATTTTTTCAAATTAATTGTGTTACACAGGTTATCAATGATCAAGGGATTTTAGAACTGAAGACTGATATTGACACTGTCAGCCACTGTGGACAATGCCGGATATTTTTACATGCCGCGTGCAGGCATGGCAAGGGGGCAGACTGTGTGAAACTGAAGTGTTGTTTGATATATGACGGCGGTCTGTAAATAGTCGAGTCTGCACAAGACTATCCAGTGATTGACATCATGAGCATCCATTTACGCAATTGTGATACCAAAACATTCATCAACCAAGTCAGTGAGCCTGACCACCCGATCCGTTAGACGCCTCTCACGACAAGCTGGTGGCCTCTTACGGCCTGCATGGGTTGCTGAAGACTTACTCTCTACCCGGATCTTCATGGGTCAAAAATGAAGTGACACTGGTGCATGACAATTACATGTCAAACAGACATGACATTCATCTGCCCATACCCAGGCTCATCATGGCCGCTAAGAATGCAGATATTTTCTGGGGAATATTGTACGAAGGCCAAAACAATAACAGTCTTGGTTCTCAGGCACCGCCTGCATCATCATAAAGTCTGCTGCAAATGCTGCAAATATTTTGTAATTTTGACTCTGTCAGTATTTAAAAGGGGTGGATGGCAAATCTGACAGCATGAATGTGTACTTCTCTAGAAACAAATGTAGCATAAAAATCCGTTTCCGGGTTTCCAGAGGCAAGGCTGGACCCCAGGGCGAATTTGATTGGCATAAATGTATCATTCTCTTCATAACAAACAAATGTATACAATGTATCTGTTAATAATAGGGTGGAGATAATATCAGTTTGCATGTTATGGTCAAGGTTCTAACTCCTTTGGGACTGCCGGACAGATGAACAGAAGGGCCAGTCCTGGTCACATATGTGCATTCCTGTCATTATACTCAGCAACTGTACATATGGTTATACGGTGGGGATCTTAACTGTGTCCAAGTTATAAACTCTTTTTGGCCCTGCCCCTCAGGCCCTAGGGGGGTCAGACCCTCTATTTGTACAACTGTGAATTCCCATCACCTGAGAATGCTTCCAACCAAATATGGTTGATGTCTATCTCTTAGTTGTAGAGAAAAAGTTGTTATATATATTGCCAAATTACCCTTTTCAACCCAGCCCCTCAGTCCCTTGGAGGGGGTCAGCCCACCATTTGTACAATTTTGAATCCCTACCATCTAGGGATGCGTCCAGTCAAATTTCGTTAATTTCAAATCAGTGGTTCAGAAGTAGTCATTTGAAAAAGACTGCTGACGTACAGATGAAGGATGGCGGATGAGCGGCGAACGAACGACGGACAGACGAAGTACGACAAACGGACGACGGATGCCAAGGAAAGGCATAAGCTCATCTTGGTCCTTTGGACCTGGTGAGCTAAAAACAGTCTATTGAACCACTTGACCCATGTCTATAGAATGACTTTAACCAGAAACAGAACAAACCACTCTTAAGACACCCTGTAATCTAAATCTACCCATGCTATGATGTATCTGCTCTAGGGCCAGTTAGGTAGCCTAGTGGTTAAAGCGTTGGCTCTCCCCGCCAAAGACCCGAGGTCGTTTCCTGACATGGGTACAATGTGTGAAGCCCGTTTCTGGTGTCCTCCTCTGTGATATTTCTGTAAAATTGCTAAAAGCGGCGTAAATCCATACTCACTCACTCAGAACAGAGTCTATTTATACACTTCATTCATAAGGTGAGGTGAGGTGAGGTGAGGTGAGGTGAGGTGTGTGTGAGTGTGTGTTAGTCATGCCAGTTTTATGGTGTTAACTCACTGAGATACCATGCTGCAATTTAACATGAATACATACTCTATATGGCCACTCAGACCATAAGGCCTCAGACCACAATCACTTTCCTTCTTTGTCATCTACAGTGACATGACAGCCCACCATAATTAATATCAGTCGTAGACTGTTCTCCTGTTGCAGGCTGACCAACCTGCCACTTGCCACTTAAACCTCAGAATTATCAGCCAAGATCCACCATCCAGCAAACACCAATGTTAGTCCAGTCAACCAATTCTGTATTTTCTTTGCCTATTTTTAAATACATACATGCATGTTTTTATCAAATGTTTTTACCACATTTTTCAACAAAAATGAAAATTGAACCTTTTAAACATAATTCCCAAGAAATCCCTATCTTTACTCATTAAACTGATTAGTTGCCCAGGTGGCTGTGTACAGCCAATCATGTGCAGCAAATCACCAGGTGTGACCACCTCTCAGCTGACACTCAGCCAATACCCCACAAAGTGTCACACTGTGTAGACCAGGGGTTCAGAAAATTGAAAATTCCAATCTGACATTTGAAACTAGGCCACCCCCACATATATAACCACAAATACTAAAATATCGTTGATATCAATAGCTATTTCAATATCTTTTTTCATCTGTACTTAATTATTGACGATAAAAAATTATCAATCGTCACAGAAAACAATATGGCGGACGATAAAAATTCAATATACGACTAGCTACTGAATATAATAAAATTCCTTTTACCTGGCAGAACAATACAGCCTAGTTCGGCAAGGGTGAAAACTGGACTTTTATAGTCAGTTAACTCCCTTGCCTCAGGAAGATGATATACGACTAGCTACTGAAAACAATAAAATTCCTTTTACCTGGCAGAACAATACAGCCTAGTTCGGCAAGGGTGAAAACTGGACTTTTATAGTCAGTTAACTCCCTTGCCTCAGGAAGATGATATACGACTAGCTACTGAAAACAATAAAATTCCTTTTACCTGGCAGAACATCATCTACAAATCCTCATTGTATGTCAACCAAGTGATGACTTACAAAATGATCGTCCAGACTTTGAGGGTTTGGCAGATCTGCTCGACTGATCTCAGTTTATTGGCTATTAGTGATTGATCGCTAGGACTATCATGTAGGTATGATGTATTTACAGCAATCAAAACAAACAAAGCTTGTTAGTGTAGATAATCTTTATTGTGTTACAATTGCAGACAGAAACCACTCAGTCCTAATTGTAGATCATGTCCAGTCAAAACTGAAGAATGTCCGAACAATTTTTTAAAAATGTTCTGACAGAAAAATTTAAATGTCCAGTAAGCAATATTTTAACTGGACATTTGAGATTCACAGGACATGTCCCTCACATATGACTGTTTCCAGACCCCTGGTGTAGACAGCTAAACTGCAATTTGGACTGCTTGCACGAGAAATGTGTATGTCTTGAGAGTTTCTAATAAAACAATCATGATGAAAGTCAGTGGCAAGAGAATCAAGTCACAGTTCAGCAAGGGCCACACTGCCTGGAACAATGGTCTCACCTTTCAATCTGAAGAGTCAGAAAGTGCCCCTCCACCCCAGATATCCAGGACTGTCACTAGGATGAGTGCTGAAGACTTCTCAATGGTCACCAAACCCAGGTTTGATGGCACTAGGCTGTCGACGCCTGACTGTGACTGCATCTCTACATCTGTGTGGCTGTTGGGTCAAACTGCGGGCAGCAAGCAAGACCTGAAACAAGAGTCAAACAAAGCTGATTTGGAGGGATTGCGACAATGAAAAGATGGCCAAGGCATGGAACACAACTCTGTGACTGCATCATTCAACATCCACTAACATTTTACAATGTCAGTCAGGTCATTGTATTCAACAGTGAGGACTGGTCAGTTATGTCATTGTCCTCAACAGTGTGGACCGTTCAGTCAGGTCATTGTATCCAACAGTGTGGACTGTTCAGTCAGGTCATTGTATCCAACAGTGTGGACCGTTCAGTCAGGTCAATGTATCCAACAGTGTGGACCGTTCAGTCAGGTCAATGTATCCAACAGTGTGGACTTGTAGTCAGATCAATGTATCCAACACAGTGGATCAGGTTGTTAGATCATACATTGTAACCGCTCACAATATCAATCACTGGATTGTCTGGTCCACACTATTTACAGGTCATGGTCATAGAGTTGGAATATTGCTGAGTGTGGTGTTGAACCACGAACAAAACTTGTTGTGAGAGGACAATGTAATATTCAAAGTAACTTTATAGAACAGTGATTAAAGACCGATGTGAAGCAGCACCACAGTTTCTGAGAAGTAAACATGGTTCCAAATTAAGCATAAAAATCAAGGGGTCCACGTCATAGCCCTATAAAAAAGGAAAAGTGTTTTGTTCATAAAAAATAAGGTACTTCTTAACATTTCCTATCAAAAATAAGTCCCATTCCATAATTACACATCATAGAAACATTTCTTGGTGTGTGGTTTCTGAGAAAATATATCTTAAAGATTTTGGAAGTACTTAATTATAAGGCATTTTTTACCCTTTTTTATGTCTTGAGTATGTGTTCATTCTACAAGCAGGAACAGCTCTGGATCACAATGTGTTTTTACATATCATATCAGGTTTACTGCTTGCTGTGCCCAGTTGATTTTAAAAAGAAGATTTGTAAAGATTATAGATGTCACTGAGGCAAAGCAGAAACCAAAAAAACCAATATGGTTTCTGGGCAAAGTTACCATGGTTACTGTCAAAACCTATTATTTCCAAACTAGTCAATGCCCACTTCAATATATTCACATTATCTGAACAAATAATACACGCGTAGTGGCTAACAATGGCATGCTCGCCTTTTGAACAAACTTTATTCTGGCAATATTAGACCGATCATCCGAGTTTCATCTTTGTTGAGTGTTTTTTTCTGAGAAAAAGTCAAAACAATCCAAATTCACAGTGGATACACTTACGGTGCAGCTATAGATTACAGAATGCAGTTCATTCACAAATAGCGGTCATAATACATCAACAAACATAGCTCCATTATTTCCTGAGAGGAGAGAGGATTGACATCAATAAGCATGGTGCCTGTTGGTGCAGTCGAATGCAATTCTTGCTAGATCCGTCTCTACAACTTAATATATACATGTTAAATTTCTTTAAAAAGTATTAATAGTAAAGATACTACCTTATGTATCCACGGGCTGATAAGGTATCCGATGACATTTCACATTTTGCTTATAAAACAGCAAACATCATCAAGATCATTTCTAAAAATCACTTCCTGGCCGCCATGTTTTGGTTCAAGAAAGTTCAAGGTCGTGTTGGATGGCACTTCTGCGCTGGCCGCTGGACACAGGCGAAAGCTTGGCCCCGTCTATAAGTTTCGGCCGCAACAATAGCGTGGAACTAGTTTTCCTTCTGTTTCAGAAAAAAACTCCATTACTTTGCATGCTACCCGCTGTATGGATACCATATTGAATGTGTAGAGAACAATACATCGATGTGAGGAGCTTATTTAAACTGGTACCAAGAACTCGTTGTGCCACACATAGAAGGAAACCAGTCCGGTTGAAATCGCCCACAGCAAATCTTGATCTAAATTTTTCTTTCACAGACGGCCTGAAGATGCTGACGTCAGAGCTACAAACATGACGGCATTACCTTTGTCCCTGCATGTTAGAAAACTTGGCAGTGACTCAGCTAACAGTCGCATCAAGTCAAATCTCAATTTGGCCTGAAAATAAGTAAACTTTAAAGAATTATTTTTAATCAAAAGGCCCCTGTCAGACAGACTCTCTTTGCCGGATTTGCACTTATATGCAATAATTACAATACGTTTCTAGGAAGAATGGATTTATGTTACCACAAATTTGACCTTTATAGTCTGATAGAAAAGCTACGCTTCTGCAATATGTAGAGACATTATACATATGACATAACGTGACTTGTGATGGCGAGTGTGGACAGAAATTGAACAGAGAATAGAAGCAAAGTGAAAAAATATTGACCCTTTACAGAAAAAGGGACATTTTGTTCTTCACAACAGACTTCAATATTTATGGGGGGATCTCATAAGGATTAAAGCCTAAAAATAATTTTGGTTTACTATAAATCTATTGAACCACTAAACTTTATGGGGGGTTTTCAGTGTACCATAGATTTTCCAAATGATAAATGTTCACGGGACTAATGTTGCAGCAACCTTGGGTTACATGAAGATTCAGTAAACAGAAATATGCATACAATTTCCACTAGAGAATATATGGACGTATGTGTGTGTGTGTGCGTGTGTGTGTGTGCGTGCGTGTGTGTGCGTGTGTGTGTGTGTGGACTGCAGACCAAGTAGCTGATTCTTTGAGACATGTAAGTAATCAGAAACATTCTGGGAATCCGTGTACTGTACACGTTATTTGTTTGTATGTTTTTCATTCAAGTCAAGAGAAATAGCCAGAAATTCACATAAATACGGATGTGGCTGTGCGTGATTTTGCGTCATTCATTGAGTCACGCAGGACGGAAACTTTGACAATTTCAGTTGAATTTACCAAATCATTGCAATGTATCTATTTTTAATTCCCTTATACTTGCTACAATTCTCTCCCATGCATAGTCTGAAAATGTTGAGGCGAATGTGTGTAACAAATAAACGAATAGATGGCTCGAAGTAGGAGAAATGCTACACTGTGTAAAATCTCTATGTTGCCTTGTTTACATTACTAAGAAGTGCAGTTTTCCAAGCACTGAGTTCGTTTCTACACCTGATTTATTTCGCTTGATTTCATCTAGACATTTTGTATTGGTGAAAAGGGCAAGGACCAAAGCATTCAAAACATGGTGTATATAACGCCCCGAATGGTGATTTTGTAATGTGTAAACAATGGCGTGATTTACCATTTACCCTATTTTCTGAGGTCATTTTCAGATATTTTGCTTTGCCTAACAGTTGACAGTGGACGGTTTCACAGAAAAGGGAATTTCCCACAGAATTCAAACTGTGAAGTGAATTTGTGTGCGTGATATATTTTGAATTTTATTCGACTTCAAAGTGAGGTTTGAAGAGGAGGGACATATCATTTTCAGATACTGCAGTAATCTAGACTTGCCAAATAATATAGACTTGCATGGGCTGTATTGGATATATTTGTTTCAGGGTCTGTATGGTAGACTAACATGCTGTAGACTGCTGGTGTGTCCGGCCCAGACTCGGTGTTCACAGGCGGCCTTAGATGGCAGTGTTGGCGCGACATGTGACCAACTATTAGTGAGTTATAATTTAACGCCGCATCGGAATTATTTACTAGTGATTAGGATGACGTACAATGTATAAAAGTATAATAAAATCACATCATGCATTGTCTGTTGTGTCCATATTGGATGGTTTTCTATGTTTGTTTGTTGTTTAACGCTGCACTCAGCAATACTCCAGCTATACGGACCAGACAATCCAGTGATTGATATTATTGATCTACGCAATTGGGATACGATGACATGCATCGAGCCTGCTCGATCCCGTTAGTTGCCTCTTACGACCAGCACAAGATTGAACAGTATTCAACATTTTGTGTTATTACAATAATTAAGAGTTGATTCATTTGTTTGACTGGCTCTGGTTCTGGTAACTGGCTCGTTAACAGTAACGTTTAGCTTAATATTGTTGACAAATTATTCCTGTGTCAGGCTTTCAAATATGTGCAATCCACACGCTACATCTTATATGCTAATTTGGTGAGGCCGTATACAGGTCATCATGACCATATAGTGATACTTAGCATGGCACCGCCGTCATATATCTGGAACATTGCCGAGTGCGGCGTTAAAAAACAAACAAACTAATCCTGGTCACCTTAATTAAATATTTAAGGAGCATTATGTGCTCATTGCTTAGTTTTATTAGTTTCATCAAAATCAGTAAACGCACCATCCTGTTACTGGATTTCTGGTCCATCCATCACTGGATTTTTTGGTCGACGGCTTTAATCATGCAATTTAAGTGAATATGGCGGGCGCTACTAGTAGAGCAGGCCTTGCTAGCCCTTTTAACGAGCACCTGGTGTCATCACTGATATTTGGTTTGTTGTTGTTTAACGCCGCACTCAGCAATATTCCAGCTATATGACGGCAGTCTGTATAAATAATAGAGTCTGGACCAGACAATCTAGTGATTGATATCATGAGCATCGATCCACGGAATTTGGATACGATGACATGAATCAACCAAGTTGGCGAGCCTGACCACCCGATCCCATTCGTCGCCTCTTACGTCAAACATAGTCGCCTTTTACGGCAAGCATGGGTTGCTGTAGGCCTATTCTACCCCGGATCTTCACGGGATGATATTTGGTGGTCCATTCATACAATTTACATCTATTTTGCTCTCCAAGTGGAATCTGTTTTGGCGATAATCAAGACTAGTTATTCTCTTACACTGAGAGGGGCAGTTGGGTAGCCTAGTGGTTAAAGCGTTCGCTCTCCACGCCGAAGACCCGGGTTCGATTCCCAACATGGGTACAATGTGTGAAGCCTATTTCTGGTGTCCCCCGCCGTGATATTGCTGGAATGTTGCTAAAAACGGCGTAAAACCATACCCACTCACTCTTACACTGAGAATTATTATTCCCCCCGGCATATGATGCGGGGACATATAGTCCACGCCTCGTCCGCCCGTCCGTCCGTCCATCCCTTATCATTTGTTTCAGGAGCGTAACTCGACAATCGTTCAATAGTGTTCAAGAAAAATGAGCAAATATATCAAACAGATCCTGAACACCTGCTATTTACGTATTTTGGGCATTTTTATTTTTGTGGATTTCCATGGAAACAATTTGTACTTTATCTAAGGATTTTGTTTCTGCAGCACAACTCAAAAAAACATTTAATATCGTTCAACAAAATTTGGCAGATATATAGAACAGATCCGGAAATTGTGCCCTTCGCTATTTGCAGATTTTTGGCATTTTTATTTTTCTCGATTACCATTGAAACAATTTGGACTTAGTCTCAGAAGGGAGGGGTAGGTGTCGTTTCTGGAGCACAACTTGAGACTTTTCATCCAAACCTGGTACATGTATTAACCAAGGGCTGAAGCGGTGGCTTTTGTTGATTAGGAATTCTTCAAAATGTGATGTTTGCCTGTTTCCATGAAAACAATTTAGCTGAAACGGAGGTAGGTATCGTTTCCGGAGCAGAACTAAAAAACATATTTCACATTTTTTATCCTAACTTGGTACATGTATTGACCAAGGGCTGAAATAGTGCCTTTCGCCATTTAGGAATATCAAAACAATTATTAATTTCCTGTTTCTATGACAACAAGTTTGACTTTGACTCTGTTCATAGTGGTGTTTATAGGAATTCTGTCATGACGCATTGCACACACAGTGACCAGGTTGTCAAATGGTGCCTTTTGCTACTTAGGCGTGTTGAGAATTTATATTTGTTTCTGTTTCCATGGCAATAAGTTTGATTATGACTCTGTTCATAGTGTCGGGTACCTGACATAGTAATACAAAGTTCCTAATCCCAATTCCACGGTATTGTTTTGATAGCTCATTGACTACTCTTGTATACGGACAGACAGATTAGATATAAATTCTCTCATCAAGTTGAACTTTAAGTAACAGATGATCTGTTCATTTTTTAATTTGTGGGGGCCTGGGGGATTTGTCATCTTCTGATGACTCTTGTTTTAACAGATTTCATGAACATTAATAACATAATATTCCAAGACTGTTTACAGTTTCAAATATATAATGTATTGTGATTTTTCCACAGTCAATAATCAAGGTTTTATTAAAGAACATGCTTGAACAAAGTTGCTTCATTCTGAGGCTGCCATTCGAATGTGTAAAGTGAAGGAAATAGTATCTCGGTGCATTTAATTCTGAAATTTCACAGGACTACCCAGCTTCTGTGACCCTTTATAGCCCCTGGTGATCACATTCGTGTATTGCTTGTCAAAGTTTTCACTCAATCGCTTACAGGTTCACGCACCTGTCTACAGTCTGTCCAAGTGTTATAACCTGGCTAGGGCCGCTTCACAATAGGCTTCTCGCCCGCCGTGAGTCGGAGTGACTGTAGTGCACGACACACTGGGAGATGTACAGGACAGCAGAAACTTTGCAATATGCGTGTCAGAAAATATTGCAGGGAGGCAGAGAAATGGAAAAGACTCTCTTGCAGGTTCCAATGCTCGCAATACATATAATACTCTGGCACTCAAATTTGTGAAGGGCTTTCAAACATTCGAATCCTCATCTACCATACCCCAGTTATTTTGCCTGTTCATTCAGTTGGACCATGCTTTCAAGTGACAAAATCTAGTTTAGATCTAGATTTAAAAAAAAATTCTATTGGACTTTTTAAAAATTTAAGTAAGGCTTAATGAAATATTTAAAATATGGTCAAATATGATCAAACCTACAAATTACAGGATTTGTAGATTTTATTGCATTAGGTCCAGTACACCTTATATTGTTTAACAAAATCTGCAAACATACA